AAAGATGAAGAAGGGTGTTTATAGTTGCATTGGCAGTAAGATGATGATCATAAGATAAAACAACATATATGTATATATAGATAATAATGTGTTTCCACCAAATGGATTCACATAATGTTCTTTCCATCAAAAGATGAGCAGCAGTGGGTTAATGGTTAGAATTTAGTATTGTTCTTTCCAACAGGATACATTTTGCAAATTCAAGTAATGTTCTTTCCATCAATGAACTATTTGTCCTTCAAGTATATCATCAAAAGAAATTGCAATAGATGTATCTTGTTCCATATCAAAAACAATAATGAATGGCAATGCAATATTATCAGCAAACAACACATATACGCCATATTCAAGTTAATTTGTGTTGTTTATCAATATGTGTCTACATTACACTGTCCATTAATAGTTGTCATGATACAACATTACCTTCAGTCAAAGCCCAAATCTTGCTTGTTTGGTTTGAAAATAGTGTCATGTATCTCAATCTGCCTACATTATAAAAAAAGTGGTTGTGAGTCTATGGCAGGGGATAAAATGGCTAAAATGAAATAATCCAAAACATAGGACTCACAGCCAAGTGAAATATCCTAAAAAATGTATGTTAGTAGAAACCAGGCATCACAAAAAACCAAAAAAAAAATCAGGATTTTGAAGAACACGGCATCACCTATGAACTGCCATCTCCAACAGAACCACAACATTTTTAACTTCGTAATTACAACCCAGTCCCTGATTCACTAATTCTGCAAATTGGAATTAGACATTAGTGATCCTAAAAAATTGGAGAGGGAGGTTAGTGCTGATGCAGTGCTACAATTTGGTATATTACCTGTGCGAATCTGAAAAATTAGAAAGAATTGAAACTCATGGAGTGAAGGAAACGGGCTATGGTGCTCTGTCAACTGCCACCAGGGTTCAAGTTCAAAAAAGAGGTACCGAAAAGCAAGCATTAACTTTGTAAAGAAAATCAAAACTATTTCAAACCTTAATAATAGGTAAACGCCGAAGAAGATGATGGAAAAAATGGATGCAGTCAAAATAGATTTTTCAGTAACACTTTTAGAGTTGAGATGGAAAATCAAACCAAATTTTTAATTGAAGCTATGTACATACCTGGCCTACAATTTCTGCCCGAAGCTCCTCCTTTAATGGCCGCCAAAGCTCCTCCGTTAATGGCCGCCAGAATCCCTATGGTAGAAAAGATAGTCGGCGTCGTCGTCTTCTACCTTGTTCCATTCGAAGGCTATATGTCCGCCATAGGAAGAGGAACCCTAGATGCTTCGCCGTTTAGGTGGAGGGAAGAGAGAGCACGTTCTTTTTTTACGGATCTAGCAGAAGAAGGTTGGCGTAAAACTCGAGAAAAGTTGCTTAGCTTCTCCCATACGCTCCCTCTGATCAATGCCACTGCTCTCATTTTACTGTACCTGGCACAATTCGGAAGCATCGTTTCATGTGAACAGCTGGAAGACAGGACGCCCTACCCATCCATGTCAGCAGAAGCCCGAACCCGACCCATTACTGTGTGTAATTGGATATCAAATTTTAGGCGGGAACACTGTTCCAATTTGCATCCTATCTTTGTATATAGTAAGATATTCTAGAATATTTAGACAATTTGTTGTAACTTTTTTTTTATTTTAAAATTATTACTCATAGGGTTTTCTGTTTTTTTCTTTGCTTTTATTTTTTTAAAAAATTGATGATGATGTCTGCGTATTTAATGCTGAAACAGTCAGCAACCTACTTTGGAAGGTTAAGTACTCCATTTCTACCCCTTTTTGGTTTGTACAGCTTTGGGACGGGGGGTGGGGGTAAATTTGAAAAAAAAAATGCTTTTTAACTACTTCCTAAAATTGTGTGCAAGTCAAAGTGGTGAATAAATAGGGACGGAGGGAGTTTATGATTTTTTTATAGGTAAATGCTTGGTTCACAAACACAATGGTTACAAACTTCACAAACTTACTATTTGTGAACTTTCATGCATAAAATTAAATGGTCTAAAATGACTTTAAAATAAAATTTTAAATCATAAATAATAAGTTTATGAAAATTTATGAGTATTTTATTTGTGAATATAACATTGTTCTTTTTTATAACAGGGCCCAAAAGGTCTTCTGAACTCAATTGTGCGAAGAGCTGAGTAGGATTAAAGGCGTCGATTCCCACCCACAAATCGATCTCCAAAATCCAGGGAGGGAGGCCGCCGTACTTGCGCCTTCCAATCTACTGCACGCTCCGGCCACCCGACTGATCCAAGTTTGTTTCTTAATTTCAGCCTTTACCGTTATCTTCTCAATTCCTAATTACATAGTTCTAGAGTTTTTTTATTATTATTATCATTATTAAAGATTACTTACTACATTTTTAAATTTTTACTCTAATTTATACGGAGTATATGGTACTAAAATTTAGCCATGCAGTTTCTAAACTTGTTTTGATATATAATGTGATGGTGTGAATTACCTAACCGGGTAAACTCTACTAGACCGGGTCTAGAATCGTTTATTTGATTCGATAAAGTAAGAAGGTAAAAACACGCAAAATGACCGGTAAGGCTATAGGTGGAAACACATGTAGCCTAATTGATATTAATATGAGAGGATGCACGGGTGCTTTTACAAGGTAGTTTAGAGAGAATGAATTCCGATCCCTCTTTCTGAGTTTACAGTAGTATTTATACTAGGTTTGGGGGGACAGGACGTTGTGCACCCACGTGGAGGCACGTTCTCGGATGGTGGGAGGTGATGGCCTTCGCCCTCTTGCTACTTCGTCATCTTGCGAGGGAGACTGTGCCCTTGTCGCGTACTGGCTTGGATAGATTCCTTCAGCATCTCCCTTGATCTTCGATACTAGTCACTATAGTCCAAGTTCCTTTGGATTCTTCCTGCCGACACCTTCTAATCCTCGGAAACTGTACCGGGTAGTTCTTGAGAGTTGGATTAACTGACTTTGGGAGATGAATTAGACGATGGAATAGCTTGACTGGTATACCTATTTGAAGTATACCGGTCAATTGTCTAGTCAACCCGTTATCCTTTTACTGACGATTCGAGTCTTTCTCTCAGGGATAACCAATCTGACCGGTCAAACATTTGGACATTTCTTTTGACCGGTTCTGGGTGGATTACACCCATCAATAAGCCCTCCACTTCTCGGCCGTGTAAAATATCATGGGCGGGAAGTAAAAATTTGAGAAATGGGTTCAAAATTCGAATTTTTGTTTTTTCCCGCTTGAAATTTTCAAATTCAAAATTTGAAAAGTGTCAGTTTTGACACGTGTTGCCTACTGAGCGCGGTTAGGCCAGCTTCTTTTCGTATTCCCAGGCGTAATGATGGCGCCGCCTGACGCGGTGCGTTCTGGTGAGGCCACGTCGCCCCTCTCACAACTTTCCTCGCCTATATAAAGGCCTTCAGCCCATTCATTCTTTCACTTTCTCTCACGCGATTCTTCTGAGTTCCACCGGTCAAGTTCGCAGTTCTAGCCTTCCAGCCCTCCGAGCCAAGTAAGCTTCTCTTCTTCTCCTATTTCTTTTCACGGTCAATGTCTTCCTCTGATAGTCAGGACATTTCCTCCTCGGATGCCTACACATCTAAGGAATCCCCAACCTCTTCTTCCTCGACCGGGTCATCTTCACCCGATCTTCGACCCCTGTCGGTCCCCAACACCACTGTCCCTGAACCGCAGCCCGTCAACCAAATGCTCGGTCAGGTTTTTCAGGAGAGAGATGAATCGGCCGAAGATGAGCCGGTCCCCTATGACCCTGACAACAAGTCATATGAAGAATGGGAGGACCGGCTGGAAGCGGTCGATTACTTTCCCCTCCCTACCAGTTACCCCTCAAACATCTACCCCCATGTTTCTAAGATTGCCCAAAATAATGCCCGCAGGAACCTCCCAGAGGGGTATATCCTAGAATACGACCCCAACTGGCCCAACATCATCAAGCCTCACCGGGATGATAGGGTAGGGCTTCATATCATTTCCTTGGAAAGCGGCACCGTCTTCCCCCTTCGTCCCCTCCTGGTAGAATTGTGCCACTGTTTCAAGATCCTTCCCGGGAAAATTACGCCCAATGCCCACCGTTTTCTCAATGCCTTTGTAAATATCTGTATCCATTTCAAGATCAACCCTTCCCTTCGCTTTTTTCTTTACCTGTTTGAAGTCCTTCCCGGTAAATCGGGTTGTGACCGTTTTGTTTACTTCAAAGGCCGCAATGGTCGCCAATTTATTTCTGACCTTCCACAAAGCAACCGGCAGTGGAAGGAAAAATTTGTTTTTATAAAATTTCCTACCGCCTCTCCTCTGGCCGACATAAAATAGAATGACCACATCCTGAAGCCGCAATACACTGAGCCGGCCACAGCCCCAGACTTGGAAGAGAGTTTGGAAAAGCTTCTCCAAGGGGACCCCTTCACCGGGCAGATGTTCCACTACGGGGCCTGGATCTGGAGGATCCAACCGGGTGGTAAGGGTACCCCTCGGGTCCAAGAGGCAGCGGGGCACGGGGTACCCTCCTCGGGCAACACTAAGGCAGCGGGGCACGGGGTACCCTCTCCGGGCAACACTGCTGAGGCCGGGGGCCCAAGCCACCTAGGTATCTTTCATTCTTTCTTCTTCCTTTGATTATAACGGTCGTGAGTCGAATACTTACGGATTATTACTCATTTCTGTAGACATGAATTTCAGGTCATTCGACATTCCCAAGAAGACCGGCGATTCTTCCTCTGCTGGTCCACACGCCTCCTCCACCAAGATGGTACCGGTCCAACAGGAAACTGTTGAGATCAATAACGAGGAGGAAACCCCCAAGGTCCCGGTGAACCCTATCCCCGACAACGGGAAAGGGAAAAAGAGGATGAAGCAGGCAGCCACCACCCATCCATCGGCCAAGAGGAAGAGGGGGAAAACACCCCGGCTGCAGAGTCGCTAGAAGAGCTCTGTGTCAAATTGACCCTCAAGCTGAAAGAGGTAACGCTTATCCGGTATGTTCTCTTGAATTTGCTACTTGGTCATTGTACTGACCGGTATACTTTTCAATTTGTAGATGGGCGAAGTTAGGTCTAATGCCTTAGAGCAGCTCATTGAAGATTCTTCCTCCCGGTTAACCCAGTTGGAGGAGAACTTGAAGAGAGCCGAGGCCCACAACCGAGAGCTTCAAGAACTGACGGCTTGCCAGCTCGACGAGATGGCCAACCTCTCAGTGGTTGCCGGGAAGGCAAAATCAGAGATCCTCCAGCTGAAGGAGGAGAATACGCAGCTGATGGGCGAAGTTTCTCAGTTGAAGGAGGAGGTGAAGCTGAAGGAAGAAGAGCTGCTCGGGAGAGACAAGCAATGGGTGGGGGAAAACTTGGAGGAGACGGCCTGGGTGATTTCCTCTACTCTAGAGATGACGATGGAGGCCTTCAAGTTCATCTACCGGAGGAGCAAGGAAAGGAGATGATCACCCAGATCGGCTCTTACGGCTTTATGTCCTGGTAGAAAAGAGACCGGGAGGCTACACATGCAATCCTGGCTGAGCGGGACCCGGCCTTCTTTGCTGAAGCCTACGGTCTGGCCTCCATCCCTGATGAAGAACCCGAGCCTCCTTTCCCCTTAGAATGAAATCTCCCCGACTGCGCCCGGTTACCTTTTGTAATGTTTGGAACATCTTTATTTGCCCGGGTATGCCCGGTGTACTTGTAAACATTTGACATTTAATTTTCCCCTTTCAAATGCCATGTTTAATTCTCGTACCGATTAACTCTGCTCTTGAGTGTTCCTTTCTTGCTATCTTGCTTTTGCTCCTTAAAATGTCTTCATAAATACTTTTATCGGTACACATGCCATCTGATAAACAATCGCCGGTAGAATTGCAACTTGAAAAAGCTTGACCGGTTGAACTTCAACTTTCGCTTTTGGATACCTTCCTTTTGGCAGTCTAAATTCATCGATCAAGTACAGTTTGACCGGTAGGTTTCATCTTCACGGTCTGACCGGTCAACTACTTCGCCTTGTATCAATACCCAACCGGGGTATTCTCTTTTTTTTTGTTTCACCGGTAGGTTGTAGATGGAAACACTTGTAACCTAGTAACTTTTTTTTGAAGTATCCTTAACCGGTAAGAATACTAGAGATTTAACCATGTCGAATGGTTTCGAACCCTCTCTAAGGTTCAAATGCACCCTTCTCCCAGGCCCCCTCTTTTGGGTGATTAAGTCTTTTAATGGCCCTTTGATTTCTACCATCCTAGAAAGGCCTTAGCTCACCCCCCGTTCAAGTCTTCCCTGAGAAGGGGGAATCTGAACCGGTCGGAATAGGATGCGTCACGGTGGACGATCCCTTTTTATTTCTTTTAATGGGCATCTTTTAGTCCCCACTCAGTTTGACGGTTTCGACTAAATCCCCGATACCGGTCAAGCCTCATGGGCCCGTGTAAGTACGGTTCGAACCTTCTTACAGGTCTAGCCCTCTTGCAGGCATACCCCTCTTCCAGGGCCTCTCTTCCGGGTTTTATTATTTTTTCTATTATACTGAGCAAAACCGGTGTAGTAACCAGCGTGCCAGGTCTGGGCCTGTGTCTCAGTTGGCTTATCCAAGTGGATTCGATCCACCCGGGAAGCCCTCCTAGGATAGGTTCGACCTAGCAGCGTCGCTGCTGCTACCAGGTAGAGTATTGAACATCAATTTGATTGATAATGGAGTTAGGCCTCGCCTAGTATTACAATCATTTGTAGAACTTGCGAAGATGATGGGAATTCCAAGTTCTCTCTACCGGTACACCATCTAAAGTTTCTAACCGGTAGGTTCCCGGGTGAATAATAGCTCTCACCCGGTTTGGGCCTTCCCAATTCTTAGCCAGCTTTCCTCCATCTCCCGGTCTACTAGCCTTTCTTCTCCGCGGGACTTCATCGCCCACTTGGAAGTAACTGTTAGGAATCAGAGATCAGAGGCGGTCAAACGGAAGCGAACAAACACGCACACACAAATAGAAGAAAATAAGAACACAAGATTTAACGTGGTTCGGTCAGTAACCTACTCCACGGGTTGCAACTAGGGTTTATCTTTTATTAGGTGCTCACAGATTATAGTTACATGATTGGGTATTTATAAGATAAATTAGGGTTAACAACTTGCTAAACAAGAAACAACTAATGGGCCCTTTAATTAATAACTAAAACCGGCCCCCCATATTTCTTCCCTTTAACTGACCGGGCTTAAAGCCCAAAGCTCTAAAGCCTTCACTGAATAACCCAACAATCTCCCACTTGAAGGATTTCACATAGACACAAATGCCATCCAAGTAAACCCATCATGAGTAACTCAGTAATCTTCACTTCTTCACTGTCAAGTCTTTCAAGCCTCCAGTTCCCAAGAACAAGCTAAGACTCCAGTTATATCCCCTAGTTGCAACCACCCCCTTCATTAATAACCTGAAAGGACAGTTGAAGCTCCACCGAGCTCCAACCCAGTCGTGACTGTAACCGCCACAGCCTCTGTCTCAACCGGCTTGCACAATCCACCGGATCCA